CATCAGTTGCTTCTCGCATCTCGAACTCTTCAGCCATGCTGAGATTATGACGAATAGTGTTCTATGAAGGTAAGGCGTCAGGACAGAATACTCCAATGAATCTTTAGAAATATATTACGTTGTATGGCTTGATATTTGCAAAGAAAGAGAAGCGCAGACTAATGGCACGTTGTATATCCTTTAGTCTGAGCCTATTTCTTGGGGAACCGAGCAAAGCTGCAGAAATCATCTGAGTCCATGTAAGATTTGGCCTAATGTTCCTTCCAAACTCAGGAAGGGAATTGAGTCCTTTGCGTTCCAAATCGGGTATGGCATGAGCTTTATGTAAAACAGTTATTTTGTATTTGGTCCTTAAGTGACTGCATAAGACTTACAATCGATTCGCAGCAACTCATCAAATTGATCCTGCAGATCAGGATAATATTCTCGATTGGGTCTCAAATCTTCATGCCTTGGTTGATTATTCAGGATTGTATTCTGATGCGAAACCTGAGAAATCTTTCTTGAAGTACGAGTACCTGCAGCGAGCTGCAAACCTTCATTGGGATGAAAGCGTGCTGCCAACGGATGTGCAGCCACGTGATATTCGCGGGATCGTCTCCTGGAAGACAAATGAGGTTCTCCTTTATGACGTTTGATTACTTCTTCTTCCTCCTCTAGGGTTCGGATTGGAGGTAAGCGAAGACTACCCTGAGAACTAGATAAAATGCTCTGAGAGTTTGTGGGCAAACCGGAGTGAGATATTTGTAATGGAGGTAAGCGAAGGCCGGAAGGACTTGAAGTGTTTCTGGTATCCTTTTCGTTCGCCTCACGTACATAATGCCTCGTCTCCAAGCAACAATCTGGTAAGGAGTCGAGTATATACGCGTTGCTTCGGGGTAACGAGTGAGAATAGTAAGACAAAGGAGATGAGTTCTCTGGCCTATCGTAGACTCGTCCATCTCTAGCTGGACTCACTGGCAGAATATACTCAGAAGAACGGGATCTGCCTTCTGTGTAGCTTGAAGATAATGGACGGGGTGTTCTGTCTGTCCCCAAAGTGGTCCCAAAAGGCTTCGCTGACCACTCTATCGAGGATGGATAAGCTTCTTCAATGGACGGAGCAAGGGAGAAACGTGAATGCTCCGAGGATTCTTCAAGTTGTCTAGGTCCACGCCCCTATTAGGAGCGTTATGAGTGGAGTGTTTGAAAGGCAGACTTAAGTTGCACTTACATGGGTAGCATGGTGGAAGGCAGAGCGATGAACGGCAGGCTTCGGGAGACGCGCTTTGATCCCCGAATAATGAGCTGGCATGTCAGGAATGGGAACCATCGAGGAGAAAGGTGGGTTAGTTGGTGAAATAGATCTGAAAAGAACAAACGGTTTATATCCTTAAGCCGGACATCATAATTCCACGGTGGACTGGAAGATCGCCTTGACCCTGTCTTAAATCAAGTAGCGAAGAAACAGAAAAAACAAAAGCAACGGGCACCTAAATATGGAAGCTATGTCACGGAACTTGAGGGTCAACCGGGATAGGTTAACTCAGATATCAACGGTATACAAGGTGTCCTCCGTAAGAAACAGTTTTCTAACGGAAACCAGGTATTCTTGTCTTTCAGCCTGATATTAGCATACATCTACTGACGATGAAGATACCAATCGCATTGACTAAAATAATGATCCACACTCTCGAATTCAAATTGCTTGCAAACAATACGTCGGCCTTTTTAGAATAGAAGCGGACTGTCATCTATGGGGAATCAACAAACAGACCGCATTGCAGGGCTATATTGATTTAGACTCCCATATCAGGCTTTCCTTTGATGTGGGCATCTAGAGATCACCGAAGTCATCAGCCAATCCCAGAGCAATAGCACAGCCTTGTTCCTGGATCGGCGTTTCGTTGATTCGAATTCATGCCAATTAGTAGCAATTAACTCGCAACCTTCAAGACTTATTCTTCTATAGCTCATGGCATTTTGTTTTTGAGGTATATGTTCAGGTACTTTATGAGTTTGCTTCAATAGCTAGATAATCGGAGCACGGGCTACGTCATTTAGCCCGCCGCTATAGCGGAAGAGTTCCGCTTACGGTCGAAAGGTAACATTGCCGACCAATTTCAGGATTGTCCATCATCTCAGTCCCGGGTTGCAACTATATACCATATGAGAATATTTGCTTGCTGTGGGTCGTCTTTCAATCACTGATTCTGTCTACAACAGTATTTGAGGGTGATTGGAATATTGAGCGGAAGCAAATATAGGTACAAACCTCGGATACCAAACTTGCCTATTGTATTATAAGGGAAATACAAGGAAAAAGTTCAACCCGGGGATATGGATACCAACTAATGTTGCACCACCAGTAAAAGACAAGGTCACATCGTGGAAGTAACATCCCCGAATATGCGACAATTCATGCGGCCATCGCAGTGTAGTCCGAAGGCATCATAGTTACGCCTATCCCGGGTTAGAAGCACGGATATATATGACCTGGAGCGTTCTGATAAACCATTTATTTAAGTGGACATCACGCGAAGCCTCAGAGAAGGAGGCTACGACTATCCCAAGAAAGCATTATCGCCCAGTTCGATACCTAACTCCTTAGAGAATCGCCTCATTTCTTGCTCTAACTCGTCCTCAAACGAAGCGCTTCGCCCATGTCTGACCCATTGTTTAACCTTCAAAAAGAATACAATAAATAAAATGGAGCAACAGAGAAGCGGGGCGGACTCGGCTTACCTTACTAACCCAGAATAAGACATCTATGCTAAACATAACAATAACATAGGTCATATGATGCCAATATCCTAGCATCCGTTGCGAAAGGCTGAGGTAGGGTGCAGTGGCGAGAGAGCGAGAGGCCCATTGTCCGATAATCTTGACCCTATTGACAGGTGAACCCAAGGCTTGATTATTGCCTATAAAACTATCAGTGAAGGAAGTCATACAAATTCGAACGAGGAACATACCTTGGACCATACGCATATTCCGCGCAAGAAAAACTAGCGCTTTAGGGAACCGCTCAGTATTTTCTAAGAATTTCCTGAGCTTTTCTTTCATTTTCAAGCTTGCTTCATATGGGTCTAATTTCCTACGTTCCACATCTATTGAGCCAACAGGATTAATAAATGAACGGGAGTAGTGATTAATCACTTACTCGGTGAACGAGGCTTTGTTCGCCATGGCCCGAGTAAAACGCCGCCCGCCAAAAGATCTACACTTTCGCCACCGATACCCCATTCCGTAGCCACTTTACGGACTTCAGAGAGATCACCGTTAAGTAAACTCTTCCACAGCATCGCGTAATCTCTGCGTAGGTCTTCGGGCATCCGAACGTAAAGTCCGTGGTCAATTAAAACAAGCTGTGGCTCGTTTGACGGAGTTTTCCTTCGTATAATTATATTCCCTGGATGCGGATCACAATGGACGAACCCCCACTGGAATATTTGGACGCTGAAAAGAGATACTAGGGTATCCATGATGGCCGCTGCTCCTCCTTTAAGAGGTCGTGAAGAATAAGATGGGTCTGACGAACCATCCCAATTTGGCAGTAAAGATGGATCAAGAGTATTATCAGATTCATGTCGGCCGCCATCAAGAAGACGCTGTATTGCCCGTCTGTTACTCAGTTTTACACCGTCGATATATTCGGCAGTCATAACTTTACCCGTCGTATATTGATCGTATACCTGGGGGAGGTATTAGATCAGCGACGATGGCAGGGTATGATATAGTGTAACAACCTTCGGAATATATACTCTTCCTGAAAGCTGTGGTTCAGATGCGACCAACGCAGCCGTTCGCTTAGCATTACGAGCTTCGTTTAAGAAATCGAGTTCCAGCCTCATATGCTCAGAAATAAAATCTAACATATTTATTGATAGATATGTTGTTAAGGAGCTAAATATACTCACCGACAAGGAAATAAACAGGCATGTCAAACACCCAGCTAGAGGGTCAGAGAGTCAGCTGTGCACATCCAGCGAGATATTGTCAACATACTTTTCGTACATCCACATCACTAATCGATACGCAGCCAAATCCCAGTCGACTTGTTTGCTCACTGCCGGTTTCTGTATTTTGACCGCGACCCATGTATCCGGTTCACTGGGGTCTTCTTTCTTCAGTTTTGCGCGATGAACTTGAGCAATGCTCGCACTAGCAACAGCTCTTTCCTCAAATTCTTCGAAAATGCCGTCTTTCCCGATTGGCAGCGTTCCAAACTCAGAGACAAATACCTTTTCAACGTCTGAATACGGCACTTGAGGAGCATCGTCGAATAATTTACTGAATCTAGTGTGGAAGGGAGCAGGAAGCATCGCGGTATTTGCTGCCAATGCCTGCCCTGTTCGGATATAAGTAAAAACGATGAAGAATTGAATACAAATCCTACGTACCTATCTTAATATACAAACCGCCGTTCTTCACAAACAAATTGTAAATCCGTTCTGCCACTCTCTCGTGGATCTCCATGATTTTCTCCCCTTGACCCGGTTTAAAGTTGATTTTGTAATCGGCAGCTATTATTGCACACTGTACGTATAGCAATGAGTACCATAATGTGGAAGAGGAGAAGAGTAGTGATAACGAACTGTATATAAAGTCCTGGCATTCCTCAACAAAGAGGATGCATTAAATTCCCGATCCCATGTATAAACACCAATTCCTGTTACTATAACAAATCCAAATCCCTTGATCCAGCGATATCGAGGTGAATGTATTGCTTTTGAAGACGTGGCATATCGGCGTGCAAGGAAAGTCGTTGAAGCTTTCGGTAGACGTAGAGAGGAAGTAGGAATACACCGAGAGAAAGCAAAAACCATCAAACAACCTGAAATTAAGCTGTAGGGATAAGGGAGGTAGGGTATCTAAAAGGTGGTGAAAATCGTGAGGGGAAGATCTGCCGAAGGGTCGACGCGTCAGATCGAGTGTCGTAAGCTTACGGCCCGAGTGGCGTTCCATATTGAGTAGCTATCAGGTACTAGTGATATTTACTAGATGATTGCAAAGAGTAGGCCCTGCTAGCTCAATCGGTAGAGCGTGAGACTTTTATCTTCATAGCAGTAGCTTAATCTCAAGGTTGCGGGTTCGACCCCCGCGTGGGGCTAGTCTTTTGGAGCTTTTTTGCAACAAGTCGATGAAGAACTTTGTAACTCACTGAATACTTTTCCGTTGTGGTCTAGGCTAGGAAGTATCAATGCCCTCAGCCCTTTCGTAAGATATTTATGCTTCTGGTATCTAGTATAAGTAAGCTTCAACATTTTTCTTTTAACAACCTATATACATATCGATGAATATTTGAATTCGAAGGGTAAATTATTGTGCATTGTTAAATCTCGGCAACTTCTGGACTTACGCATTTCGAAGCACAAGTATTACTTTTTCCACCATCACGTATGGTTGACAGTGTATTAAGGTACTCTCGTTGGCAGTACTAATATCTTATTCTCGTATTCAGACAATTAATTATTCCTGTCGATCTGTACTCAAATATATAGTAACTGTATATTCTATAAGTAGGACGTGGTCATAAATAATAATCTAATGTTGACAAAAGAGTACCAAATAGCATTACAATAATACTCGGTACGGTCTTTTTGGGCGTGTTTGATGCGACAGGATCTAGCTGATATGGATACATGTCCGATAAGAATCAGATGAAAATATAATTTCTGGAGCATACCTGCACAGAAATACCGATAGGAAATCCGGCGTTTTTACAATCAATTGTAAGTTCTGGGTCCACCTTGAATATTAACCTTTAATTATAACTATACTGTCGTTGAAAACGTACCTTTCAAAATCTCTTCTTCTTTCTCTCTAAATCCCGGATCTGTGTCGGGTAATGCGATGATACAATTGAAGCAGGACAGGACAGAACTAATTGAGGCGTTGCCACAGAGACATTGAATATCGACGTGGTCTATAAGACATGCCTGGAGATCGAAGTTAGATAGTAGGTTCAGGTTCAAGTAAATTACATACTTTCTGTATTTCCGCAAATCCCTGACAGGCGGTTTGACACTGAAGTGTAGAAATGAGCTCACTGATTAGTCCTTCATACAAGGTATAAAATTACCTTTGCAGGAACATTAAAAGAAGGGACACCAGAAGTCCCTGTCCGTGCTTGAAAAATGGTAGTCACTTCTCTTGAGGAATGGGCTAGAGCTCCCATGACTACATACCATGGTTAGTCTTCGCTTCGTACCACTATATAAGGCCTTTACATACCGGTCCATCTATGTAGAAGTAACCTTACTATCCAATATACGTAAATCTTCATGATGAAGACAAAATCGCGACAGTCACTATCCTTGGGCAATGGAGTAGGGGGAACGACGACGGCGAGCTTACAGTGCGATATTTGGCGACCCCAGAACCAGTATATACCGATCCGAATAAAGGCTTGGCGAGGTTAATTTGACCGTGACGGCTTTCCTTGTGTGGAAGAAGTAACAGGAAGCAACTAGAAGCGATGATTTAGAGTTGTCGCTTATATATCATGTCCTTGGCGTACCATTGGCGATCCTCGTTGGAGATCCTCAGGGATTCGCTGGTCTGCTGGATTCTCATTCGCAGGTCGCCCCTCTACATCATTCCGACTAGGAATCAGAATGGAGTTCGTAAGTAAGTAATGGTGTCTTTATAAGCTAATGCATATCCCGTCTGATTCTAATGACCAAGTCACAACCAGAGGTTTGGGTGCCGAAGACCCCGTTGGAGTGATCCAATTAAATTATCCGCCCGTGAAGTTCTTGGACTTTGATTACTGTCTTCCTCGTGTGCTTTGCCATGGCTGAATAAGATCCGACTGGCTTTCAAAATTACTTGTTAGACGTCTTGGCAGGACTAAAGCAATAAGTCGGCATAAGAGCACCTATGAGGCTAGGTGAGCCTGGGATAAAATACTGACAAAGGGATATATGCTGATAGTCTATGCGACAGAGTCAGAGATATGCCGTCTCCGAGCCGGCCTCTAATCCCTATTACAGTGTGGTGACCGATGCGCCGGGTAACGGCTGGTAATGGTCTGAACGTGAAGCAGAGTGAAGTTTTCCTCAGTGAGCATATCTGATAAGAATTAGTCAATAACAAGAATTATAACATCTTCCCATCTCACTCAGCAGCCTTCAAAGTGTCATTAACCCTTCGAATTTTGCCTTCCTTTCTTCCGCAACCATCTCTCCAAGTTTATCGCCCTCAATTCCTGCAAAATCTTCGCATGTACGACACAAAATACATCCTATTCGAGATTCCTCCCATCTCGACCACATTCATTCCCTTCTTTCAAAAGGAGTCATAGGGTAGCAACGCTGGCCACTACGAACAACACCATTGCCCACAAGCCTTCATTAACACTCTAAACATCTCTTCAACTTCTATCCTCGTCTTCACGTTTTCAATAGCCTCAATCCTACTCTCTAGAGACGCCTGAGCTCTGACCACTCTCCTTCAAGCTCTGGTGGGGCATAGAAACCTTCGCTAGGTTTGACTCCTGGATAAACGACGACATCAGCGGGATGCCATAAAGAACCAAAGGATATTCCATCACAGCGTCATTTTCCCCCATCGTTGATTGAAGCTGACACCGTTGCGCGTATTTGGAGTAGTATGGAGGCGAGACTCGGAGCACGCGGCAATGACTTGGGATAAGAGCGTTTGACTTTGGGTATTCTGTTCAATACGAGTCGATGTGGATATGACGCGGGATAATGGCAGAGAGATAACATCACTCAAGGTTGCTGAGAGGATGTGTGGAAGTGTATGGGCTGTCAACGAGTGCTTTCGATCACGGACATTAACTCTGATAGGCTCTGCGTGGGCCAAAGGTTCTCGCTGAATCGGACCTTCTGCGGCCTATACATAAGAATCGCGAGAAGGATAGAACATCTAATAAACATACTGCAACGCGCAGCCACCGGATCCGGCCGGGACTCCTCCTTATGCACCGAGTTGCGCCGACCATCTATGACCGTGACGAAGAGCAGTCAGTCGGTGAAATTGGATGATTGAATCTTCTCAACATCTAGCTCCTACAGCATGCTCTGTACGCTAATCTTCTCTTATTCCGTCTGAAAATTAGCTGACGAACTGCCCATAATCGCAGCTTTTAGAGTCTCCTTATCGACGCGCAGCTCTTCTCAAACTGCCTATGTGAACCCTCTGTGAAGAGGATCGGGGCAAGTCAGGCTGCTGATACGTCGTCTCCCGGAGGTACATTTTTAATAGCATGGAGGTTGAGAGGGATCTCTAGAGGTTGTTGGTGTAAGTATCGATGGTGGATCCAGAAGACGCGGCTGCTGCATCTATGTGGACATACAAATTGGGACACCTACTCAGCGTGGCCATCATCGACACGGCAAGATGTCTGCGTCTCTTTCTTTTTCTGACAAAACTTGCAACCTTTATCTACGTGTAAGTAGCTACCTTATAGCATTCAGTGTACACCCTTGAACTTATACATGGTAAGGGGTGACCTTAAATCCCCCCACTCGTGGTAGGCGCACATATAGCCGACGACTTTTTAGTTACCGGTCACCGAAGTCATGTTTAAGCAACTCATAAAACAATAAAATATATATTCCAATCCTAACCCCTAACTTCTAACCTGGGGACTTGCGCCGCCCCCAGACCCCGGCGGCATATTCCTCTTAACAAAAAAGAATGAATATATACTGCCTAACCTAACCCTAACTTAGGGACTTGCACCGCCCCCAGACCCCGGCGGTATATTTATATTAACAAGAAAGAGTGAATATGCACTCCTACCCAACCCTAACGTGGGGGCTTGCGCCGCCCCGGCGGTATTTTTTTTCCACCAAAATAACAATAATATATTGCTAATCTATTTGAGGAAATAAGAAGAATTACATCTCAGCGGGTCCAACCCGGGTGCTACAGTCACGGACAGGCAAACTCAACAAATGTGGTAAAAGGCAGATTTCCCACGAACAGCTCGACCAAATGATTCAATTTTTTGGGAACAAACTCCGTTTTTGAAAAGCATTCGAAAAACACACCTCCGAAAATTTTCCCACGGGTTTTAGCTAACGGCGAAATTTTTGGGTACTTTGAACGAACTTTATTCATTGAATCAAGTATCCGAATGGAGCTGAACCAGCGCCTCTATCAAAATAAGTGCTGCATTGGAAATTGTGTGATGACCTTTAAACTTTCGAACTGCCCATGCTGCTGCCTTCCCTGTCAATCCCCCCTGATATGCTGCTGTAAACCTCCCAAGAACAGTTGATGAACCAGCGAATAACATCCATGGGGCATGCATCTAAGCACTGGATAGCAGCTGCCTTTGCCTGTTCAAATGTTGTCTTCTGAATTTGTCGATAACGGTATTTGGCCCAGCCCCAGTACTAGCAGTTAGGTAAATAATTGATTATTTATGGCACATCGGCTCGACCGATTTGACACAAAAGTTGGGAGTATAACCAGCTTCTCAAAAGGAAGCGATTGGGCATTTTTTCGAGATTTTAGGATCATTTTTCGCTAACGGCTGAATTTCTTCACCTCCAATATACTAAATTATGATTTCTGAGGGAACCGCTCGACCGAATTGGCTCAAAATTGGTCAGGGTTATCATCTCCATTGAACACACCATTTCCGTATGTTTTCGAGGAAATCAAAAGGTAGTTCCCGAAATTGGTTGAGTTTGCCTGTCCGTGACTGTACTATAAACCTCTTATTGATTACCGTGGCAGACACTGCAGTAGTAGCTACTTGATATTCTTACTATTCAATAGCACTTAATAGGCCCTGTTGCTAGTCCATTCCGGGCTCTAATCCGGGCGTCTGTATACATCTGTCAGCGGGCAATGGGGAGGATTTGACCATCACCCATGGTAATTCCTAAGATCTGGAGCCGCTGCTGTCCAACGACTCTTCTCGCTTTTAGTCAGACCTGTAAATCGATTCGTAGTAGGATTATTCAAGAAGATGAAATCTGGTCTGCATCCAGGCTCACAGTCTGCGCTCCCGGTCTACCAGGGCCTCCAACCAGTGTGTCAGAGTTCCGGCATGCATCACTGTTATGGAGGTGGAAGGCTTGTGAGGTCTGTCTCGTGTAAACAGCTCACATTGTTTGCTGTTATTAA